AAATTAATTTTTAATTTATATTAACTAATATTTATTAATATTAATAAATATTTATTTATAGTTAATAGTAATAAATAATGATTAATATTAATGAGAATTATAATTGAAAAAAGTGACAATAAACTACCAAAACGCTATTTCAAATAACATTTCAATAATTAACTTATATATATCCAGACATGTACTCAAAAAATAAGATAGTTTGTTTTTACCAAACAATACCTAAAAAACCAAATACTTTGATTTCTTTTTGTTAATTAAAAATAAAAACAATAAAGTGATTAATGAAAAAGGATAGATTAGTAATTTACCACATTCATTGGGGTTATATTGATTTCAGTCTTTGATCTTCATACCGAATTCTCTAATTTTTTTTAAATATAAAATTAAAAGTTAAAATTTTGAAAAAAATTGCAATCATCTTCAACGGATTATATCATTAAAATATTTCATTCATCTATTAAAATATTATTTTTTCTTTAATTATTTATTTTCAAAGTTTTCTATTGTTGTTTTCATTTGGTAATCATTTTTGGGATAATCTCTGTATTTGGAGAAAAAAACTTTTCTCTTTCATACTTTTTCCATTTTGGAGATAATTTTAAAAGAACCGTTGGAGCAAAATATTAACTTAAAATCTCCAAGTGTCTCCATTTTATAGAAGCTCTCGGAGATGCTCTAAAGTCTCTAAGAGCATATCATATGATTTTTTTTATAATAACTTACTTTTTGCCTTTCTTTTTTCAATACCATGTCCAACTCATCAAATTAAGGAGTTTGAGATTGCTTATAAAAACAATTTATTGACTTGTTTCGATGTGACATCGGTAATAAACACTTTTAAGTGTCTGGATAAAGAGCTTATACATGTGTCAAACCGGTAATAAGAAATTTTTTGAAGAAGTTAAACCATTCTAACTTATAATAAGTTGATAAAGACTTTTGGAAAAAACTCCCCTAAAAATTATAGTTTTTATAAAAAGAATTTTTTTGTGATATGTATTTTTTTAACATTAAATATTTAATTTATAAACCCCACACACAAGGTTTAAGCTAAAAACCAAGTTTCTGTGGAAGTACTCCAAATATGAATAACTTAAAACTTGGTATTTCTTTTAAAAAAATATATGCTTGTACTTTTTGCTTATACAAAGCTCCCATGGGAGATCCTCTTAACACTGAAGCAAAGAGGACGTTTACAAAACATTTACTTGGCAAGTGTTTATCGGATAAATTTCCTTATCGAATGAATATGAGAAGCGCCAATAATCTTACCGGGTAAAAGCCATAAAAATGATGGAGAATCTTACCCGGTAAGTGAGAATAACGACACTTACCCAGGTAACCGCTTACCCAATAAATTGTTGCATTTGATATGTTTTAATGTACTAAAATCTTGGGCATCAAAATAAATCATAGTGTTTGACTCCTATCGATAAACGTTTACCGGGTAAGCAATTGGGTAAACGCTACCAAAATCTTGTTGTCATCAATTTTTTCAGATTTTGGATGAATCAAGTCACACTTGAATTCCTTCCGATCAATTCAAAAATCAATTTATTCCCAATGTCAATAATCCACACATAAATCTAGTTTACAGTAACTCATCATCATCATCATCATAACAATAAAATTTTCAAGAATCCATATAAACTTACACCATCACCATGCTTGATCAAGATTTCATATACCCCATTTTCTCACTTGCTCTTCACACTAACCCCATCTTTTCCGGCGATGATCACAGCGGTGGTCATATCCAGAAACAACCCGTGTTCCACCACGCCTTCAAACGACGATATCTCCTTCCCTGCACTCCATGCATCCTTAATCGGAGTCTTGAAATACAAATCCACAATATAATTCATGTTATCAGTAACATATGGCTTTCCATCACCATCCAATCTCAACTTCGCATCACACCCTTCCTCTTTGAACAATTCTTGAAGCCTAACCAAATTATACTTCCAACAAAACTGCACAACCTCCACCGGCATTGCCAGCCCACTTCCACCTAAACCTGAAACAAGCTTCGAATCATCCACAACCACCACGAACTTGTCCGATGCCGCCTCCACCATTTTCTCACGGAGGAGGGCGCCGCCTCGCCCTTTCACCAAATTGAGATCCGGATCGACTTCATCGGCGCCGTCGATTGCGAGGTCGAGTTTGGGGTGATCGTCGAGGATGGATAAAGGGATCCCGAGTGAGGCGGCTTGCTCTTGGGTTCTTTTCGAGGTGGGTACGCCGACGATGTCTTTTAGTTGGCCGGATGCAAGGAGTTCGCCGATCTTGGAGACCACAAAGGCGGCGGTGGAACCGGTGCCGAGTCCGAGAACCATGCCGGAGCTGACGTATTCTACAGCCTTGTCGGCTGCGAGTTTCTTGAGATCGTCTTGGGTCAGTGGTTGGACAGGGGATGGAGCAGAGAACGCTTTAATGCTGAGATACCGAGGAGAATTGAAGGAGATGAGGCGAGCATTGTGATGGTGGTGGTGGCGGCGGAGGAGGGAGGAGGAAAGAGGAGGAGAGGAGATGAGGGATAAGGAAGCCATGGTTGACGGGAAGGAATTAGGGGTAGGTGGATGTGTGTTGCCTCACTCCGCAATGGATATCCGATGATCCTTTTTGTCCACTTCGTTTTCTGGAATTGCATATTTTCAATTTTATAACCTAACTTTGTTTTTTCATGATTCTAACCCCCAAAACCTTCAAACATAACCCCCAAAACATTTTCAATTAAAACCACAGGGACCAAAAATGTAATTTACTCTTCATCTTCTTTGATAAGACATCCCACCCCTTTCCTTTCTCCTGTTACAATTACATGGAGTAGGCGTTGCTATGAACCCCATCAATGTCGTGGTTTGGTCCGTCCCTGTTACATGGAGCAAGCGGTGTAGAAGCAGAAAAAACCCTTTCGTATCTTCTGTGTTGCTGTTAACCTCACTGGTATCAAACCCTTCGAAATGAACATGTCTGCGAAAAGGGGTGGTTTCTCTGGCATGAGATGGAAGGCGACAATGGCGAAAAGATGAAATAGCGTTGAAGAAGAGAGCTTGTTGGATCTGTTTGGGGGTGGAGATTGCAGATCTTGAGGCTGAAATGGCATTTCTCTGACGGGGAAGAGGAAGAGGAGGAGGCGGTGGTCAGTTGGAATGGTTTGATACTTCACAGACAAAAATGGAGAAGAAGGTCTAAGGAAGGATTGGTATTACATTATTGGTTCTTGTGGTTTTAATTGAAAACAAAAAATAAATTAAAATGGCTAAAATATCCTTCTAAAATAAATTAATTGAAAACAAAAAATAAATTAAAATGGCTAAAATATCCTTCTAAATTAACGGAGTTAATAGAAGTTTTTTAAACAAATGAGGTGTTTGGAATTGCTTATTTGAAACAATTTATGTTTTTTTTACAAAACACTTATCAGCTTATTATAAGTCAGAAGAGTTTAACTTTTTAAAAAACTTCTTATTACCGGTTTGACACCAGTATAAGTTGTTTATCCAAACACTCAAAAGTGCTTATTACCGGTGCCACACCGAAATAAGTCAATAAATTGTTTTTATAAGTAATCCCAAACACCTTAGTGACAAGAACTCAATGCGTTATAAAATGCAAACCACATGAACGTAATCCATAGATATTTTAAAATAGGGACCCAGAGTGTTAAAACACGTAAACCACATGTACCAAGAAGGTAATTTACTCTGTATTAATTATGAACCCCAAGAATGTAACACCCCTGTTTTTAGGGTTAATCATTTTAGACTGTAGATTTGTTTTAGCATGTCAGTCAGTGTCCAACTAGTGCTGAATGTTCGTAGCTTTATGAATCAAGAGTAATGGTAGAATTAGGATGAAGAGAAGTTGTGTTGAAGGTCATCCGAGGCATTAAAAGACCTCGATGCAAGTTCAGAGATGTCGCAAATCAGCTTAAAAACACAATACATCGTCAAACTAGTTGTCAAGTGAATTAAACTCACTTCAAAACTAGCGCCAAAAATTTCTGGTTCGGGCTAGTTTCACCGCTAGTTTAAAACTAGCAGTGAAACTAGCGTCAGACACTGAAATTCTCGAGCTAGTTTCCAGCACAGTTTAAACTAGCAGTGAAACTAATGGCTGACTTGCACAAAGAGACCGAAAATCAGGATTTTCCTCATTTTAGCCATAACTTCTTCATTTGTACTCCGATTTGTGCGATTATTTTTTGCTATGGATTTGTTTGAGCTCTGCAAGATGGGAACAATGATGATTAATGATTCTTTGATGATTTTGGAATTCATAGAAGTTGAAGGTAAGATCATATCTTTTGTCCTTTAAATCCAAGGTTTGGTCCTTTTGCACCAACCATTCTCATTGTCTCTTGGATTCTCTTTTTGTGTATGTTTTGGAAGAAAATGAAGTGTTATTGAGATCTTTGCACCATAGATTTGGAGTTGTAGTTTGAGGATTTCATCTTTCACCAAAGGAAGTTTAAGATTGAGGTAAAACCTAGATTTACCCTAAATCTAGCAAAGTAAGTTTAAGTTACTTTATGAAAACTATGTACATGCCAAAATAAGTATTTTTAATTATTACAGTGTTTCACTTTATGTTTATCAAATGTGTTGAGTATTTGATGAAATTTGCATATTTGGTAAATTTGGGTTAGTAAGTTTTGTGACATACCTACATTTGGGTTTTTGGATATTTTGATAAACAAATCTAAAAAATGTGAACCTTTGGTGATTTATTACACAAATCGAGAATTTTGATATAAATGCACTTTGGTGTGTTTGGTTTTATAAACCATGTGGAAAACACATGTTATTGTGTTATGGGGCATTCTGAGAATATAAATGGTATGATTTAATTGGAAAATGATTTGTCCTAACTAATGATGTGTTTTGAGTTAATCATGCATTTAAAGCATGTATTTGCATAAACATTAGTTAAATACATTTTTTTAATGACTTTTATTAAATAGTCAATCGTATTGTTGAGCTTTAGCTCGGTTTGACTCAAATGAGTCTTGGGGACATTCCTTCGGTTTGTTTTGCTCTATGTTGAGCTTTTGGATTTTATATGCGGTTATGACATATTTATTGAGAATTATATGTTTTGAGTGCGTTGGTCATTCAGTTGATGTCATGTATTTTAGACTGTAATACAATTGATCCATAAACATAGAAGTCAGTTGGTATGAGATAGTATTCCCTGTATTGTAGCTAGAGACTCGGATCAGCGGAGGACTCGAGGTAAAGACTTGGATATAGTTGAACTCGATGATTGAGTGATTTGTAATGGGGGTGTCAAGGTAAAAACTTGGATATAATTGAACTTGACGACCGAGTAGTCCATGGTAATTGTCATTTCTAGTGAATGAGCTTAACTTGGATTTGGGAGATCCTAAGGTAAATATTTGGATAGAGTTGAACTTGATGATTCCTCAAACAAAAGACTTGGATATAATTGAGCTTGTTAACCCATTTGACTAAAAACCCGAATAAATTTGATGCCAATGTTTGTTTTTCCATAAATAATAATTATATAACATTGAATTATGGCTTTACCAAAGAAATTGGTACATGGTTGGGAAAAATAGATCCAAACCAACAAAACTGGAAAATTAAAGTTTAGGTTAAAAAAAAAATGAAAATTTAGATTTCTTGGTTTTGATTTGAAACAAAAACATTAATTTTATTAATATATAAAAAAATTAATGTCTCTAGTTGGTAAATAATCGGTCGACTTTGTTCAAAACTCCAAATATAAGATAGGTTTCGGGTTCGATCTCGTGCCCCCCACCTTCCGCGCTACCCTTAGTCATCGAGTGAACTAAAAATTGTCTTTCACATTAATTTCCTTGAAGTCGGGTTCTGTGTGAAGACCAATTAAGATCGTCGCTAATCAACTTTTTACTCGCGTATATAAATCTCATAATTATCGTAACGATATTGTTTAAAAAAATATTGTAACAACAATTTTGATTAATATATAAACTATCACAGAAATTATGTTCGTGAAATGTTTTTACTACATAAATATTAATCAGAAACAATAAAATAAATATAATTAGTTAATCAATTAGTTTATAAAAACTACAAGAGTACTCGTGCAATGCAGCGAGACACATCTCGATTTTAATGTTCTATTTTATTATTTGTCTCTGTCGATATTATAATACGATTTTATGTGTTTTTAAGAAAGAAATAATGATTTTATTTTTGAATAAAATATAAATTTGAATATATCATAAGAATTTGAGAAAAAAATATGTCAATGTTGATATCAAA